GTCTCTCTCTCTCTCTCTCTCTCTCGTTTCTACGAAAATATTTCGTCGAGGATTTCGTCGAGGATCCGATTACCGTTACCATTTTCGCGCGATCGGGGGGGTAACGAAGCGTGGAATGTTCGTTGATTCTCGTCGGGTTCAAGGTGGAATAATACAGGACAATAAAATTGATTTATTATCCTATGTGTACGAAAATACAGGGATTGTGTCGGAGGAGCGAAGCGATTCGTAATTGGCAAAATTCAGGCTGACAATCGTGGATGATATCGCGGATATAAATTTTCCCTTGCTTCACACATGCTTTCAAAGCTGATTCATCATCGTAATCGTTAAATTTCCATCGAATTTTATTAAAGTAAAAATACCATTTCACCTCCTGAATGAGGATTTTTTTTATCAGTTTGGAAAAAGCAGGCAGAGCCGAGATCCTTGGCCTGGCTAGTTAATTGCCACGTCTAGCCAGGGGCCTAACGACACAACGAACGTTCCCAGGAAGCGAACGTTTACAGGAATTTCGGGTCGGCCGGGACATGAGTAAGAGGCTAATCCTTTAGCGGAAGATCCCCTGGAAGGGGCGTGTGTTTTTGGGATGGGCGGCAGGTGCGGAAACGGGCAAAGAGGGTAAGAACCACAACACGTTCCTAGTTCGTAAGATGGTTGCAGGGGCAGCAGCCCTGGAGAGTGGACGCAAGGAGGGAGGGCTGCAAGCCTCTGTTTGACGTGAAATTGCGTGACTGGCCCATTCGTCTCCGGCTTATCCTCTGCCACGTGCCCCTTTCGCCTTTCTTATCTGCCCGTGCACGCACTTTATCCGATATCGTGGGGAACCTCAAATCCGTCACTCTCGAGCGAACGCGGTCGTCCCTGCGTGCTTGGTGGAACTTTGGCCGGGTCCGTGGAAAGAAAAGAAAAAAAAAAAAAAAGAACTGTCCCTCTCCATCGAATATATACACTCGAAGGAATTCCAAGGAAATCGGAAAACATGAATTATGATACTTCGAAAAAAATTCGATCGTTCAAGTGGAAAATATTTATACGTAGAATCGATCTTAATAAACTTGAGATGTATCGTTGTACGATACAACAAAATGAACGAGCCGAAATTTGCTTCGAAACGATATTCTTGAAATGTATCTCAAGATCATTAAAATCGTTAAAGAGAGAACTTAGGAAATTTAATATATATATTTTTTTTTCCAATGGTCAACGAGGATGTTATAATTTGTTTATTAGATATGTTCTCGGCATCTACTATTATCGCGATTCATTTTCGTCGAGGCCGACGTTCTTCTATTTTTACAATGCGCTATCGACGCAAGGAAAGAATGGAGTGAGAGGCAGGCAAGGTCACTTGGAGCACGAGGAGGAAAAGACGGAGCGAAATTAGGACGACTGCCTAAGGAAAATGAGGCGTGAAAAAGGGGGACGTTGAAAACATTAGGAATGCCCCCGTGGGGAAAGGAAATCAAATTTGGTTATGAATGGCAGTGATTAGGACTAATGCCTGCTGATTTAGACACTGACATTGTCGTGTCTCGTTTCGGTACAGCCAATTACGGAACCGACCACCCTCGATCGACACCGGAGGAAAAACTTTGGGACGGAAAAACGTTGATCGATCGGTACGTTAATGCGCTTAGTAAAGTACCATTAAACGATGACGAAGATAAATTCACGTGCGACGTGTGACGCGTGTACTCGACGATGATAGGTCGTTGTTTACTCTCTGATTAGAATGTAACGAGGGTTTATCAGACATTCGCGAGAAACGAATTACAAAGCACGATCTTGATGAACTTAAGATGAACTTGTGGCAAATTACAGGCCTCGGATAAAAATTACGAGTTCGTAATCAAGATGAAGGTATATATATGTATAAATAATTTAAGAACGGTTATTAACGGATAACGGAAAAAAAGCTAGATCTTTCGAGATAAATCTAGTCGAAATATCCTTTGAGGCGTAATAATGAAATTAAATGTACTAGGATTAAAGAGGGGTTGTTCTTCGAAGGGTGCATCATCTCGTCAACCGCACTTTTTTCTTCATTGAAGGACGCTATTTAGGACGTGATTTATTATGAATAGGCAAATCTGCGTTTGATGGAAACGTTATGAGGCTGAATGGGCCCGAAATCCTCGAAATTATCATTCCAAGTACGATAGTGCCTCTCCTCGAAGAAAGCGCAAGATACAAATAACGGACAAATTATGCAGGCACGTGTGCCACGTGCTCCCACGATTGCAACAACCCCATTCCTCGCTTCGATCCGCGTGTGATAAATTTTATTTATCCTTTCCTGGCCCACGCCACTGTAATTTGCATACGTGTCCAAGTCGAATCGAAAGCTACGACACAAGTTATTTTACGAACTTTCGTCCGGACACGACTCGGTTTAATTTCTCTCACGAATATAATAATTCGACTTTTATCCGTCACATTTTTTACGCCTTTCAAGTATTTTTCATCCACGTTTCCCTGGTAAATTAACACACTGCTTTGTGCAACTCGGATAAATCTATAACGCTCGAGCTCAAAGAGTAATCAGACCTAGAGAGTACAATAGGCGCTTTCAAACCCCTTCCTGCTTTCCTTCACTGCTTTCTTATCCGCATCTTCGTTTCATTTTCCTTTCGTCACGAAAATATCATTGCCATCCATATTTTCTCCTCCTTCCTAATCCACCAATCCTCCCCCTACGACACGAAAGGGAAACAAGTGACTGTCCCAGACTGTCAATAACCGAGTTGATCTACTAATACGATACGATAATAATTTGTAGGAGAACACGATCCAAACAACGAAATAAACTTGAAACCTGTCGACGAATTTATCAATGTCACGTTTCTTCTCGATTATCGCATAACGATCACGTAATAAAACCTTGCTAATATCCTTTTCGTCCCCCATGACCATGGTGGTAGTTTCTTCAGGCTAGCACGATTCGAAATTTATTGGAGGGTAAACGAGAGTAAGAGGAGAAGCATTGTCACGGAAAGAGGCGTTAAACAGACTGGTTTGCTCCCTTAGACGAACGGATGACATCTCGAAAGGACAGAAGCGCAACCCCCCCGAAATCTCGGTGGGTCATCTATCTTCGCGCACAAGCGTCGAAAAAGTTCTAACGATCTTTCATCATGAATAAAAAATTTGGAGAATTATATCTATTTCGATGATGGGCCCATAAACGAGGATCATTTCGCTGTATCCTAATAAATCTCAATAATAAAATAAGAAAATAATTTAGATTTTCAATATTTTCTTAATCGAAGGAAGAGAGATGTCGATGATTATCTTACGGATTATATCGAGTTTCGTGGAGAAAAAGAATAGATTTACCACTAGGATAATATTTGATCATTCTTTACACGTGCTTATTTTATTCGAAAAAACTAAAATGAGATAGTCGATAATCGATAATCAAAACTCTATGTTGCGTCCATCGATCTGGGAAACTCTCGGTAATAGGATCGTTTCGATTTTTATTCGAATCGGCCATCGAACCACGTACCATCGTGTCGAATTTTACGGTTCCTCGGAGAATAGTAAAAATTGTAAAGGGAAGACATGTAAAGCGAATAAGAATAGGGATATCTTGTCCGCCTCGTATGTACGAACACCCTCGTACGATCGTTATTATTTCTTTTCGCTCCGTCGTTTCGAAGAAATCGTTACGCCCATCTTATGATGGGCATACAACGATCGAGTCATTTCTATTTCCAAAGAAGATCCAAGAAGATGGTTCGATCGTTACTCTTGATTACCGCGTCGTTACCGCGTCAAATTATCGGACGATGGAGTAACGAAATCCTCACCCTTAAACGCGAGCAAAGGGAAGATGAGGAGAGGGGGGAGGGGAGGAGAGGCATCTAGGTAAGACTCGTTAAAACTATCCTCTAACCTTCGACCTTCCACCAGACTCTCGAGGAAAACAATCATAGACGAGAAGAAAAACTAGGACGACCAACGATGGAATGGAATTAGACGTATAAGGAGTGCGGAGACGTCGTAATGGCTCGATTAATCGAGCTTTTATCGCCACGTGGCGAGGGAAGACTCGGCAATAACACTCGGTCAATCATGGAAAAACAGATTTTACGTGTTATTACGAAGATGTTCGCCGACATAAGCGTCAATTTGAATCGAGGTAAACACGAATCTGTCTCCCTCCTCTCTCCTTCCACGAATTCGTTTAATGGATCTTAAAAATCCACGAATGCCCAATTTCACGAATTCCTAAATTGCTGACTGGAGTGCAGCAATCGAATTCGAAAAACGCAACCGCAACGACGTCATAGTGAAAAATTACGACCGCTCTTCTCTTTCACATTTCCACGAGTCGAGTTTAGATCGATAAGCGTATTGGATCGTCCAAAGTGCGTGTTTATTATGCCTCTTTATACCGTCTGTAGTAGTACTAATTCTAACGAAATTGCTCGAAGCGGTAAAAAAGAAAGAAGAAAAAGAAAAAGGAAGGAAAGAAGAGGGAAAAAATCGAATTACATCCAACGTTTATAATTCAGTTAAACGCGAAAATTGAGATCTCGTTAATGAGAGAGCAGGAACAACCACTTCCACGACCAGCGTAGAATGAAAATCGCGTCACGAATAACTCCAAGCGACATCGACTTTAAATCCATGCCCTACGACGAGCGGTTAACCGGGTTGAAGGCGTCGGTTACGATTACTAAAACTAATTTCATTCACCCCTCCCACTCCGCGAAAGTACGAGACCGTACAATTCCCCGCAATTTTCACTCCTTCGAGCTACGTTTAAAAAAAAAAAGAAAAGAAAAGAAACAATTTCCTTCCTTTTTTTTTTTATATCCACGTTATATCCATCCATCCCTCCCCCTCCCCATCCTACATCCTTTCCGTGACACTCGAGCCGTAATAACGAAGTCTACCTTCCCCGTGAAAATTGCAGAATGCAAGTAGCTGGGGCCATTCACGGACTCGTATTGCGGCAGAATAGACGGCGAACACCTCGAAAACCACCCACACGAGCGAGAGAACCAGCCACCCACCCACCACCACCCCCCTCCTCCCACACCGGCCCGCGTCGACCAGGCTAGAAGGGGGTGGCGTAGTACTCGAGGAGGAGAACCGTGTGTATCGACCACTGACGTCATCCATCCCCACTAAACTACGTCACGTATACGTTTCGCCGTGGGGATGGTGAGGGGGGATGGTGGTGGCAGTGGTCGCAGTGCCGTAGTGACTCGGTAGCGCGTCAAAGGGCCACCTCCTAAAGCAGCCACCCCTCCCTTCCCCTATCACGGCCTTCTCCAACATCGTCCAACAACAACAACAACCATCACCGATCTCGCCACCATTTTATTACCCCCCCTCCCCCATTCATCCCCGCGTAAATTCGATTATCCGTGTAATTCGCGGAGTATCAATTTTTGCTTAAGTTTTACGAGCGAAGGAAACAAGCGGACCTCGCTCGGCTTTCGACCACCGGCTCTCGGCCAAGTTAACACCCTTTACCCCGACGATCACACATCGCTGTGTGTACAGCTTATGGCGCGCGCGGCGCATACAACCGTTTCGAAAGCTTTATTACGCTCCAACGATTCACGAATTTTTACGCGGCCATGTGTCGCCGCCCTTAAAACGTCGAGAACCTCGATATCCCCTCGGCTCTCGATTACGTTTCCCTGCTTTTTTCGCGAATCCACCCTCGTGGCGGGAAATCTTGTTTGTACACACAGTGGCGTGCTTAGCCTACGCTCTCTTTCTCTCTCTCTCTCCTCTCGTCGAATTGTACTTTTTACATACACGTTTCGTTATACACGTTTTCCCATACGTTTTTGCGAACGAAATGCGCGAACAAACGCACAAGGTTTAACGCACCCCGTTGTTGTATTTTATTACGGGTGAATAAACGATATTTCGATACACGTTTCGTCATTAAACATGCAACGTGTTCGGCTGTGTAATTGGCCGATTCGTAATAGCGATGTTAATAATTAAATAACGGAGGGGAGGGGGCAGAGTATGATATTAACGCGATTAATCGAGCGTGAATGTATTTATTTCGATCCCGCGTTATCGTCGCGTTAAGAACTTGTTCGAAGAACAACAAGTTTCGGGCACACGCGAACACATTAAATTTCACCGACATAGTTCTACTCTTAATAAGCAATTATCTTCTTGAAGCCAAGTTTACCGCGGTGCATAAACTTGCTCGTACAACCTTCGAATTTCCTGCACGCTAAATACTCGAGAAGTCGTGAACGACAACGTAAAAAGGATAACGAGCTCATCTCGCATCAAACCCTTTATTACAATTCCCCCGACCGATGACAAGATAAACGATTGAAAAGAGACAGATCGTTACACCACACTCGTTCGAGATTCTTCCTTAAACTTCGCAAATATTCTGGGAGACGCGCGCATTTCGAGATAAATTTGAATAGGAGTTTGCACGGCGGGGCCTGTTCGCGCCAAAATTTCACAGCCCTGAACCCGTGGGAGCCCGAGTGCAAAAGTATTGATTCGTTTCATCCCCACCCGACACGCCACGCTGCCCCTACTATTCCTCCATCGTCGCCGTCGTCGTCGTCGTCGTCGTCGTCGTCGTCGCCGTAGTCGTAGTCGTCGTCGTTGTCGTCGTCGTGCTACCTTCTCTCGTAGCCACCCTCTCCCACCACCCCGCCCCCCAAGTTGCCCTTTCCCGCCCTTTCTGGAGCATCGAGAAAGAAGAAAAATGCAGGAGACACGGGACCAACAGAGAGAGTAGCGAAAGAAAGGAAACGGTTGGAGGAGGAAGGAGAAGGGAGCGCGGGAAAATTCGCCCTCCATTTTTCTCGCGAGACAACAACGCCATCGTGGTGGACCCTCTCTTTCTCTCTCCTTCCTCCTGGATGAAAAAAAAAGGCTTGGCCTTTTTCTCTCTCTCCCCCCAACCCGTTTGTTTTGCTCATTATCCATCGCTACAGGTCGTCGATATTCCATTACGGGGCCCGGGTAAAGAAAAACAATTAAGACTGGAGAGATCACGCATCTTCCCGCTCTGTAAATTATTAAACGGGACTGTAGCGCTGTCACCGCCGTGTTTCTCACCCTTCGAAGCGCCAGCCCTTTTTACGCTCCCCTCCCCCCCCCAGGGGTCGCCCCGCTTTGATGCTGCGGAACCAGAAGAAGACTCTGCGCGCGCGGGGCCAATGGAAACCGGCCAAAGCGGAGTGAATTAATCCGCGCGGCTCGCAATAACGCGGCCTTCGTCCGCGGGAAGAATCGCAAAGCGGCCCACGCCCGACGACATTGTAAATTTTCGCTCGATTGTTCGTTAAGGGGGAGGGAAGGGGAGGATCCGGGACGACTCTTTTCTTTTATTCTTCGAATGCGTCGCCACCACTCTCCTTCCTTCCTCTCCCAAGGAGACGCGCCCTCGAGTCGATTAAACAAAGCCGACGAGGAAACGGTGTACTACCCGGGCTAATTACGGCCGCACGACAATTACTAATTACTTTAAAATGTCCGCGCTTCCTTCCAACTTTAACTTAATTACCTAATATTAATCCCCTTCTTTGCTCACGATGGAGGCATCGTTTCTTTTTTTTCTTTTTTCACGATATCGTATCGCTTTTTCTCTTTTTCATTTAATTGGAGGATACGATGTGGCAAGCAGTTTCGAACTACTTAAGGCAATTATTTTCGTTATTTTCTCGGTTGATTGGTTAGATTTAAATATCTGGATGGGTTAAAGCCTATTGTGCTTAACGGGATATACAGTGAATGCAGTACAGCGAATACCGGTGCGTGTGTATGGCAAATATTTTTGATCCTCAATGGGATAACACGAGTGATTGACGAACTATAATCGACAAGCAAGCTACGTGTGCCTACGAATAATTTTCGAATCATAGTGAAATCTCGTGTAAAAATTTTTATCGTAGTCTTCCACTTTTAAATCTGTCTTCCCAAATACATTATAGAATAAATCGTGTTTTTTCTCGTCTTAAGAAAAATATCAAAAAATTATTAACACTGGTAAAAATTTCGTTATCAAAAGCATCATCGATTATTTAAATATATATCTGCAATAGCTACATATTTTAATTTTCTATTAATAACATTTTTATAATATAATCAAAAATATACCTAATAAACTAGTATACGCTATACCAAGTGCAACTTGTTTGCAAGCACTTTGTGCAGTCACCCTAGAAGTAGCGCGGAAGAAAGAAAGAAAGAGAAAAAGTCCAAAAAATTTCCTTCCGGCTGGAACTCATTAGAAGGGACAGAAAGAACGATACAAAGACGATAAGGGTTGTTTTGCGAGCTTACTTCCTTCGAGACACGTGGTCTCGGTGACACGTGCCGTGATGCCGTGACGCCGTGTTTCCGCTTGATTTCCCTCGTTTCTGGCTTATCCTTCCCCCCCCCCTCCTCTCCCTCCTTCTTCTTCTTCTCCACCTCTCTAATTACCGCGATTTAAGCGTTCTCAAGTCACGCGACAGTCTGCGTGCATCTATGCCCCGTGTATACATGACTCCGATTCAGCTACACGTTCGTTCGTTTCCGATTCTCGGATCAGGTGCACGCCACGAATCACGAAGGGGAAAACGAGATTTTCATTCACGCGAGCTTATTAGGTTACCCGTACATGTCACTTCTAATTATCGATTGCGTCCATACCGTTTTCGCTAGAAAATTATTTGCTGGTCAAATCTTTTTTTTTCTTCGTTGTCGCGTTTTTTCGACTTATTTTGAAAATTTTTCGTTCTCCTTTCCTCGTTCTTCCGGATATTTCTTTAGGACAACGATCGAACAGATTAATCACACTATTCGTTGCAAAAATTTAAACAACATTTGGTTTTGGAGATCAAAATCGAAACCAAATCTCTTCGATAAATTCGCCACGCGTATTTCTTCTTCCTCACCTGTCAAACGTTACACAAATCTACGAAAATCGTTTAAAGAAGGAAGATAGGACGGTCAAGAGAGTCTAAGTGCATATAAGAGTACGGTAAATACGATCTTCAAACACCCTCGAAAACAAATAACGAAATTTGAGCAAGAGAAAAGGAGAGTGGGTCGTGATGAGGGATGAGAAAGGGGTAGGATGAGCGTGTGCCTATCCTCCTCCCTTGAACGAAATATTCTCGATGACTCGTACGTGGAGAGTGGCGAAATGGCACTTCATCCTTGG